CGGCTACCCCTTCGTCTTCGGTTTCGCGGTCTTGTCAAGCTTTCAGACGGCAGAGGTTGCCAGGACGGGCAAGATGGTGATGCCCCAGGCAACCGACCAGCAGCTGGGCGGCCATGCCGTGTGCGCCGTAGGCTACGACGACTTCCAGCAGTGCTTCATCGTCCGCAACTCTTGGGGAGAGGGGCCGCCTGCCTGACTTCAATCCGCACCCCCTAAGTTGAGGTTCAAATTTGTAGATCTCAGAGCTCCATGCCTAAATTCGCGCACCGCGCATCCGGTTTTAAGGTGGGGCGACAAGGGCTACTTCTACATGCCATATGAGTACATCTGCCACCCCTCCCTCGCCTCCGACTTCTGGGCCATCAACTGGGTGGAGGGCTTCAAGAACGCATCCACGAAGCCGGCCAAGAAGTGAGTGCCAAGGATGCAGTCCTCCTCCGCCTTTCCTTCAGCGACAAAGCTGCAGCTTGGCAGCAGACCAGATCTCTATGTCAAAAAGCCGGGGAACCTGAAGCCCGAAGCCTTTTGAAGCCCTAAACCCCTACGTCCTCCGCCTGGTGCTTCAGCCTTTTCGTCCTCGGATCTGCAAAAGCCCCCGGGGGGGGCCAAAGAGATGAAGATCCACGTCTTTTCGCCCATCGACTATGTTAGAGAAAACGAAGGTACGGAGTACAGGCACGGGCATACAAAAACATGTTGCAATACACCTCCCTTTCATATTCATGTTAGATTCCGCAGTAGAATAAACCGAAATTATCATGAAATACCGACCATGTTATAGTGTAATCAGTTCAATGTAGTTCAATCTCAGGTAGCAATACAGAGCCAATTTTACCTGTAATCTGTCACAATAAACCTATGTGCATATGTGGAAAGTTTTATGTGATATCAGCATTAGGGTTTGAGCATGTGTCCACGGGCATTATATTCTGCTGACCAGGTGGGGGGGGGGTATGTTCTTCATTACTGTGTGTGGGTGTGTTGTGGGTGGTTGTGCACGTGTGTATATCTATATATATATATACATACATATATATATATATATGTGTGTGTGCGTTTGTTTCGGTAGTGTGTGCCGCTTAGGTTAACCTTGCGTTTGTTTAGGTTCACCAATAGAATAAGTACTACCTGACACTGAATGTTGGTTGTTACTAATCATTAGGCGACTTTTGTATAGTCCTTCCATCCGGGTTCTCACAGCCACGAAATACAAAGAATCGCTGTGGTATATGCCTCTCCCCGGAGGTGATGGATGTTGGGCTGTTACCTAAAGCCATGAGTCTAGTGTAGGCCTTATAAATCCCTTAGTTCTCACGTTAGGACCTCTTCCGAGGTTCGTGGAGCGCTGGACCGCCCCAAGCCTGAAGAGCCACGGATCACTGCAAACTCAGTGTTTTCCCAGCTCTTCAGGCGACAAGAAGCCAACACAAAAAATATCCGGAGAGCCCAACACTGCCTAAATTTGAAGACTGTTCCTGAAGATCTTTTGAGGAATCTACTAAGGCTCTTTGGTTTCTCTGGGAAGATCCATGTATAGCACCGGCGCAAAGTTACAGAGACTTTGGCCAGATATAGTTTTGAGCAGAAGGCTGCGGAAATGGAGCAGCGAAACCAACGAGGCACTTTTTTGCCTTCCCAGTGCCCCTGATAGGTATATATAGCGGACCTATCGGCGGCGCCACAGTCAAGAAACCAAAGTCTGCTGCACGATCGGTGTGTCTAGCTTAGGGTTTAGGGTTTCGGTTTAGGGTTTAGGGTTTCGGTATAGGGGGTGGGGGGTAGTGCTGTTGGGGGGTTTTAGGATTTAGGGCTTCTGGCTGGGGAGCAACCTGACAGTCGGCTTTTGCTGGGATCCTCTGCTTCGGGAAAATTCGTCTCTTCACCCGGACAGAGCGCTTGTTCTTTCGATTCTTCTTTTACACTCTTGATTCGCACGTTCGTCGGAGCATTTTTTTTTGAAACGGCGTGGATGCTATCGTGTAGTTTCGAAGGTCCGGACGCAGTGACAAACCATGAAAGCTTTCTACATGTCGTACCCACTTCAAGCCCATCAATGACCCTGTCTGTAGAACTTGTTTGAAGCCTTCTTAGACTTTAGAACCGTCGAAGCAGCAAGGCGACGGCACTTTGTTCTTGGCCCAAGCTCACCGTGCAAAGCACCCACAACTCTTTAAGTTCCGTTCACTCGCGACGCAGACAGCCTCGCGGCTGCATCCAATCTAAGTTGGGGTCCCTCTTAGAAAGTGCTGATTCTGGTGGAACGAACTCCCAGTAATGCCTCGTACGATAGGTGCATTCAAGTAGGCGCTTAGCAGCAACCCTGTATTCCCTCCCCCGTGTATTAGTTACCGCAAAGGGTTGTGGTTTCTATGCATCCGAGCTTGTAAGCTCCCCACCGCACAGTCTCGCCTGCATTCTTAGACCCGAAGACCCCAGCCTTAAAAACCCTAAACCCTAAACCGTCCTTAAATTCAAATCAAGACGGGTCATACGACCACAAAGAGGGAGAGCCCGAAAGGTGAGCAAGCTCTGAGGGGGCTGGGCCCACCAAGACTATTTTCTAGATTCTCAGGCTCGTGCTCTTCGAAACGGGAGCCCAAATGGGTTTAGGGTTCAGGGGTTTAGGGGACATATTAATCAGAGATTGCGGTTGCCATGCTCTCTCGCCCTGGGTGCTTCTAACGGGTTGGGGTGCTCGCTCGGTCGTCTTTTTTCCCCAAAGCCGGTTGCTGGTGACAGCGATACCCCTGGATGCTTCGCCGGATTGCAGGTTGACCCGCATCTTTAAGCAGTGGTTTTATGAGTTATGCTCAAGTCGCCTAGAGAAGTTATTACAGGATTCCGGGAAGCATCAACCCTAAGCCTCGCCCCGCTTGCGCTTGGCTGGCTTCGAACGGGACTGAGCCGTTGCTTGGTTTAACCAAGTCCATACTATGTAAAACGCTTGATCTCTGTTCCGCTTGCTCGCGGCGACCGACTTGAGAGATTTCTTTCTTTTGTCGTGACCACGAGGCGGGAGGTCTGCATTAAAGCTGGCTGCACAGCTGTTCCTTGGAGCAGGTTACATTACCGAAGCAATCCATATCTGCTTTTTGCGAATTGACTGAATGACTTACTTGCAACCAAGTCTCTTCCCATCGAACAGCTCCCCAGAAAGCAACCTTCCTTGAAAGTGCGGCAGCGTTCGGTCTTTGTGTGTAATCATATGAGCGGATGTGCCATCGGGCAAGGGCATCTCTTGCAGAAGCTCTGCCGGGATCGACGTCGTAGACGAAAGGGCAGCCCTGGAAGGCCTTGCAATCGTAGCTGCCGGTGTTTTCGGAGCAATCGAAAGGCAATCATCGCCCTCGCCCTCGCCCCCCGATGGCACCTCGGATGTTTCGAAATCCACTGAAAACAAAGCGGTGGCTAGCAGCACAAACAAAGAGAGCCAGAAAGAGAGGGAGCGAGAGAAAGAGAGAGCGAGAGCGAGAGAGACTGCGGTGTAGAGGCGTCATCATCGTCGCCATCACCCATTCCCACCAGAAGCTCTCTGCATGCCACTGCAGCTGCATCTTCTTCCAGCTCCTCCCAGTGGATCTCCGCCTGGTGTGGCTTTCCCGTCATGCGTTCGGAAAAAGCAAACAAGTTAAGAACCCACGGCTTTCACGATTTAGGGCCTCGTCACTTGGCTCGTTCTGTGTCTCTCCTCTCTTTCTTCTCTTCTCCTCCTGCTTGTCAAGCACTTCCAAGATCGCTCTGATCTTGTCCGGACTGCATTCCTGAGTGATGCAGTCCATTTGAAGCACTCGTCTGATTCGGGCCGCCTTCGTACTGTTCTTTGGCATTCGGATGCCACAAGAAGCCAAAAAGTCCATCAGGTTCGCAACCGTAAGCTTCAGGATGAATCCTTTCTCCACCAGAAACGGCATCAGCGAAAAGGACTTCGTGCCCCGTCGCAAGACGAGGCTTGAGCCACACTTCTCTGCCAGGCTCTGGTCGCTCAGGTGGATGGTGTAATCATAAAATCGCACCTGGCAGGCATACTGTTGGTGGAGGCTTCAGAAAAGCCGCAACTCCCATCAAGCTGCGACTTTAATAATAAGTGAGAGGCCTCGTCAGCCTTCACAAGCAGCTTGCAGACCAGATGCCTGCAATCCATGTTGGGTGCGATTACATTACCCAGAAATCATGCAACCCAACCCCGCCTTCCACTGTCGAGAGTGAGGGCAGGGTTGCTCTCACTCGCCGACAGCACATCATCAGCAATCACGTCGCTTGCCGGGATTCGGGTCTCATCCTTCTCCTCTGCGGGCAAAGGACCGGTGAAGGTCCAAGGCAACTGCTTGAGCTGCAAAGCCTCAGATTCTTGTGCTGGATAGGGCGTAAGGATACGAGGAGCGAAGTGAAATGACAATGGCGGCTCTGCTTGCCGTCTTCATTCAATCAAAGCCCAAGAGCATTGAGGATCGCCGGTGTTCGCCCCAAGGACAAGAAGTAGCCATCACCGCGCTTGAAAAGCATTCCTGCGAAGATGGTCTCGGGCACCCAGAAATGAGGGATTTCCGCGGCGGGATCTCGCCCCATCCTGGGCGACATAATATGAAGCAGAGTGCGGCGTGTTGTCACTGTTGGGCTTGTGTTTCTCTATCCCTGTCTATGAATTCAGCTGAGAAACGAATCTGCAAGCATCAAACCAGACATGAAGTTGAGCGAGTGGTGGTTGTGATGAAAAGCGGAGGTCGACGGGAAGGGCTTGCAAATGCTGTCGAAGCAAAAGTTCTGGCCTTGCAATCGGGAACGTGTTCCCTACATCCTAAACAAACAAAAGAGAGCAAAGCCAATGACGTGAGAGAGAGAGAACAGCGGATATCAAAATTCACTCTTTCCCACCCAGTAGCAGGGGACGGCTGACGTGGGATTGAAGATCTTCGGCCGGAGGAAAGAAGCTTGAGGTCCGGTCCAATCCCCTTTCTCAAGGCTCAACGGCGTGGGAGTGTCCTCGCCGATGCACAATCGACGATGGAGCCCGCGGATGGCCACAGCCATTAGGTTGGGCAGGGAGCCCACGTCAGACTGGCCCGACCTTTTGACAGCCGTTGTCATCTCCTTGAACAAGCTTTCGATGTTCGATGACCAAGCGACCTCGGGGAAGTAAGACAAAGTGAGGCTCAAGGCCTCAGGGTGCTCCTTCCACTGGTGCTTCTCCCAGCCTGCGAGCAGCTCTCTGTAGGCCTGGTAGCCCACATACCGACAGTGCTCGTGCAGCTCGGCCGCCTTGGCCGGGCTCTTTTCAAGCCTCAAGATCATTTCCCACTCGGCTTTCATCTGGCTCAGGATGAGCCTTTTGGTCTCTGGCTGCGAGTCAGGGGCGATCAGAGCGGCGGCTTTGGATGGCGAGCTTCGAAGATACAGAAAGTGTTCCAGAAACTCTTGTGCTGCACAAAGGTACATTCCCAGCGACTCAGACAGCACTGTCTGAAACGTACAGCACCGGCGGAACTTGACATCCAATCCCTCGCGAGAAGGGCTTGGAATGTTAAGCTTGTGATGCTCAGAATGCTCAGCTCATGATCGACGAGTCGGATCGGGGGGATTGCTAAACTGGATTAAGATGAACAGAGAACAATCATAATTACGTAGTGTGTGTCGATTGATTGGTGATGCCCACAAATTCGCCAAAAGATCATCGATAGGTTCTTTGGTCTACTTTTCGCAGGGAAGAATGAAACCGGTTTGTCGGTTCATGTGATTCAATAGCCAAATCCAAGAAAGCCAAATAATCGAGCACGGCGGTTTGTGTGTTTGTGTGTCCTCCTGAATAAGAGACTACGATTGCCTCTTATCTGTTCTATCACAAGTACGATTACCACGATGTGTTCTTGAGATTATCCCGAGCAAACCTTTGCTCGAGAAGCTGCACACATCGATCTGGTAATGTGGCTACTATTTCTGAATATTCATCATGATTGTTAACGAAAATTAGTAAGCGGTCAGTAGTTTATATTGACTATGTTCTCTTGCGACCTACACGTTTTTCGCCGACTGACCAATGATCCGGCTCAGCGGTGCCTGGTTTCCGCGTGAGTTCGTTCGGTGTGCTCTGGACTTGGATCGGATTCAATGTTTGCCACTCGGGGCGGCCGGGCTTCGGTTTCGGGAATTAACTGACAATTCTAGCTTCAAGGCTCATACAAGGTTGGGCGGCTCGGCTAATAATCAGTAATCCTTCTAGAGGACAAGAGCAGAGCATGATCAAGTCTCATCCCGAATCCCGCGTTGCCTGTCCATTGATGGCCACGTCCGGGGCCATGTCCAAGACTTTCAAGGACAGGCACTCTGATGCGAGGGCCGAGATAGTCATCTCCAGCTCGTCGGTGTTTGCTCGCAGGGTGAACTTGTGCAGGGCCATCTTCTTGCTTTGCTCTTTTTGCTTAGTTGCAGACACTACATGACGACATGCGAGCTGCAGCTAGCTATTATTTGTCGGGCAGTGCGTCCACAACTTCTGTGCAGCCGTAGCACAAGCTCCAAGCAAATCTCTTTGAAAGGATTCACGACATGGCGGGCGAAGCGGAACAGCCCGAAGAGCTGCTCGTCCATCAGAGCCTGTTTGGGGATTGGAGTGCCGAATGCGGGAGGTAATGCTGTGCCAGTGATTGCAACTGATAGTATAAGGCAGGCCTTCACACACTTTTCCACGGTCCTGTCCTGACTGGATTCGCTCTCCTTCTGCAGGGCTTCCATGTTGAGTGGGTTCTTGCCCACCTGCTCCCAAGCTGGTGTGCGACTGTGTGTGCGTATGTGTGCGTGCGTGCGTGCGTGGGTGTGTGTGTGTGTATATATATATATATATCTGTGTGTGTGTGGGCGTGTGTGTGTGTTTGTGTGTGTGTGGGCGTGTGTGCCTGTGCGTGTGACATGACCCACCCAGCCGTAAACTTGGAAGCACCTATCGACTTTTTTACACCCTTGTTCATTCACGAGAGAGAGAAAAGAAACAGAGTGAGAGCGAGAGAGATAGACAGAGAGAGAGCGAGAGCGAGCACCGGCGAGCGAGCGAGCGAGAAAGATAATCGAGGGGGAGAGGGCGAGAGAGGGAGAGAGAGTGCGAGTGCGTATCTCTTTCTGATGTGATAATTTAAGATAGCCAGGCAGGCTTGCATGCAGCAACACGAGCAGCGACCAAACCGGGCCTCGATGGAGCTCCATAGGATCAGCAACAAAGTGCTCGACATCTGGAAGTGTGCAGCAGTATGGGCCCATGAGCACCATCGCGACCAAGAGAAGCTCTCACTGTTGTACCTAGGTTCTACATCCAAAGCACGGCTATGAATCATTCCGGGGTTCCTCCAACTGGTGTCGTGCATCCCAGCAACTTGATAGTCTTGCCGAGGATGTCGACGGTCCTCTGGAAATTCAGCTTGGCATCCGATGTGAAGGGGAGGTCGTTCCTCGGCTGGTTCAGTTCAGTGTGACTCAGGCCAAAGTAATAAATAATTTGATTGTTCAGTAGTGTTAAAAAACCCGAGAGTATGTTCGCGACTACCACACAAACAGCTGAGTCTCTCCTTCAAGATGTCCCGGCTGAAAAGCTCCATCAGCACATCGTCTGGCTGAGCCTTAGGTATTTAATCTACATATGCAGTCTTACCAGTTCCTGCAGCTTGTAAGTCAAAGCAGCACCATCGAAATTAGGGTTTGGCTGAGCCACAACTTCCAGATATCTTTCCCCAGCCTCTTTCAAGGTGGAGGCAACATTGCTTGTACCCCAAGGAGACTTCTTGGCTCTGAAGAGCCAGCCGCTCAAAAGCGTCATTCCTATGCAACGGGACACACACTTTAGTCTCAGGCAGGCGCTTGATTAAATTGAAGCACACCGAGAAATTGATTGATCAGCACAGCTTAAGTCGCAACGACCAAGGGTCTTTTGATGATCGGGCTGCAGGATGTAACTCGTCCCATGTGGGCATGGATCTTGTGCCTTGGAAATCACGAGAGAACCAAACACTGCCCGAGCACACCGAAAACAAGCACAAAAGCACCACGAACTACTTTGAAGCACTGCCTCTTTGCTGCAGAGTTACAGCTCGTCCCTGATGAACCGGCGGAGGGCCTCATCCGGCATATGCGTGTCCCATCGGCTGATGCCTGTCTCTCTGTTCACGACATAGCCCATCACCTCATCGCCCACCGCGTGAAGTCGTCTCTCCTCGGTGTCGGGGTCGACTGCAATACACGGGGAGGTCGGGAACAGCTGGTCCAGGGAGAGGCCAATGTGGCTCAGCACATTAGCCACAGCCTTGAGCTCTTGCTTCGCCGATAGTCTGTCCTCCTTTAAAGCATTGAGAGCTTTCGGCCTAAGTTTAGGTCGTGGCATCACAGAATCAGCTACCTCCAATCAAGTCAAGAGCACTTTGTGCATTGTGTGCGACGAGGTGCAACTTTTTCTTATCCTGGGGTTTTGTCTGCTCGCCCAGGACGGCTTTGGTGTGGGAGTCGGCGACCATGGCCGCCACGGCCAGTTTATCGCCTGCGGAGGCTGTGGTCGGGAGCAGGGTGCTCAATCTCTGCAGTGTACCAACCGATAGGTGGTCCGGTAGGGCAAACACAGGCAGCCACACCTCAGCTCCCAATGTTTGCAAGTAGGTTTAGTTTGAATCAAGTCAAGCGCAAGCCACAACGTCACTTCAATCTGCCGACTAGACTCGTCGTGCTTCGCTTTGGGGCTGGCATCGCATATCAATGCGATGGACTTGTTCTTCAGGCCACTGAGAACCTGGACCGGATGCCATCAGAGTTGATTTCAAGGCCTGGCTGGGGGTTTCGATTTCGGTGGCCTGCTGCACCTTGGCTTGGGTCTTGCAGAGGTAGCGGTGCACAAAGTCAGCCGTCGTCCTGAGGTAGTGTCGTGCGTAGTAGCAGCAACTTTGATGATGGCAGTCGGGTTCTGTCTTTCACAACAACACCCAGTCCTATTGTAATGCGTGGGGCAGAGCGACTCGAGCCCCACCTCCTTCAAGCTTGCATCTGCCTGGCTGCTGCAGAAGCCACCGCCACGTGATAGGAAGCGGGAGATGGCCATCTCCGATTTTGGCTTGCATTCCAGCTTCAATCGTCGTCCATTCCTGGTCGCAGCAGAACAGCAAGAACCCAGAGTCTCAGAGCCCTTGTCCCACGAAGCGAAGACTGATTGCAGGCGAGGAGCTTGGTCGCTGGGTGGAATTTGTGGTCTGCAGAGAGGGGCGGCATCACATTGGTGGCAAGCGTCCGCAACGATTTTTCAGCTTCTTGGCTCAAGATATGAACCAGCCGTCGTTGCGCCCGGGCAAACGTGTTTTTTGCCTCGGTTCTGGGCTGTGCAATTCGAGACACGGAATTGAATTCCAGGCTTGTGGTTACGATTGCTGCTTGCCCAACCAATAAAAATAAGTGGCATCCAGTTGATCTGTGTGGGGCTGCCGAAGCAGGAACCACACGACCAAAGCCAGGCGAAGGCCTCGTATCAACGAATTTGGGGGAGCTCTATGTCGTCTACACTTTATACGTATTAAATAGCACAACGAACAAGCCTGTGTCCACTGACTGCTCTTCCTTGGAAAGGATCTTGCAGCTCTGCCACCTGCGAACTTTCTGTGCATTTTCTGGGGTTGCAGACACAAGTGCCGATATCAAGGTAGTAATTAAATAGTGGCATTCCTTCGGACCTCTGTGTCAGATTCGCGTACTCCAAGAAGGCTTGCCAGGAGGCCAAAGACACATGGCCATCGTGTATTTGCAATCGACCTCAGATAACCCAAAGACTGGTCACGACAGCAGCAGCAGCACGATAAATGTTTGCGTGAGCCCCGGAAGTCGCAAACGTAGGGACCCATGCCAAGCGACAGGCCTCGTTCCCCGGGATCAAAGGCAATCGCAAGCTTTCCACAACAGAGGTCCCCAAGATCACATCTAATGTTGTCAGAGCAGTTGCTTGCATCTCCTCTTTGCAGCCCCGGCTTTGCAAGACATAGCTTGCCTGTTCCGAGGTTGCACATCAGTTGAAGCCACTGCTGCTTGGACAGCACTGGAATCAAACGTGAGAAGATCATGTAGCCAAGTCACCATGAAAATCGCTCCGGGCACGGTTAGCCCGTCGAAGGGCAAGCGGAGGCGAGCCGGGTTCAGTTTGGAGTTCTGGCCCTTGTAGCTCGCTTTGCGGATGCAATGAAAGTTGATAAGATCAACTTTCCAGGATTCACAGACATCCATCACGAGGCCCTCGTGCCGCAGAACGGAGAACATGGGTGGGGTTGGGATAAGGTCCGGCAAGCAAGGGTCGAACTAACTGGATGGTTTATTAGTTAGGATTGTGGGTTTTGGGAAACCATATATATATATACATATATATATATATATCTGAAATTATGAGTTGGTTTTATTGAGTAACTTCCTTGTTATTTAGGTAGCTCAGCCTAGGAGCTAGGTTCGGGTTTCAAAATTTTCGCGTATAAGTGAGTTTAGGGCTTAGTTAGGGCAGGGTTGCAGGCCGGGCACAGTTTCGAAAAGAAGTTGTGGAAGTGCTGTTGCCTCTTGGCCAAAGACCAGAGCTCTTCTACCCTGAACAGCATTCGGTAGCCTTGGATGTCCTCAGTCACCTGTGCATGTGCTGATTTCTGAAATGAACTGACTTGACGACTCAGTCTCCATCAATCATGAGCAGATTCATTGACGACTCACCAAAACCAGCTCTCCCTCATCCCGTGCCTTGTGAAGCTGTAGAATTCCTTTGACAGCTTTGTGGCAGGACAGGTAGAGGGTCTCGAAGTTGTGGTAGTCTTGCCCAGGACTACAGCTGCTGTCTGAAGCTGCTGCTTCCGCGGCCTGGGCATTGTCATTGGCAGCTGCTGGTGCATCAGCACCGAAGATTCTCGGCCGAAACCAAAGGCCACAGGAGGCCGCTCGGGCCCGGAAGCTCGTCAATGCCTCCTGGCAGATGCAACAGTAATTCAGCCAATTGATTGATTGGGATTCATTCGACTCATGGATCAGACTAGAGGCATGAGCCCCGGGCCTCCCAGACTGGAGGGCTGACGTCGAGGGTCCCGAGAGGTCTGTTGCTAGTGAAGCAAGCATCCACCCACTCTATCTTTTTTTGGATGTTTTTCCTGAGATCCTCTCTTTCTTCATCCTGCAGAAGCCTTAGATTTTCGCTAATGCAGGACCACCATAAGTCAGTCACGGAGCAAGCAGGTCGTGCCCGAGCGAGCACGTTGTGCCCGAGCGAGCACGTTAACTAACCCTTGCCGGGAAATTGCAGCCGAGAAACATTTGGAGCTTCTCTATCCTGCCTTCTATCCAGGAAGCGGCTGCCATGGTCGCCTAGGATGCTCACTCAAGCTTGCATGCTCGTCTAATGGGTTTTTTTCGCCGGGGTTCGCAACCTTGGGGGCAAAAAAATTTGAGGTAGCACGTACTCCAGCCCACGGCCCGAAATCGAGCGAGCACGCAGGATTCCCATGCGTTTGTCCACCTAACCACGGTTTCGGATTTCTAACGAAATTGCATTCCAGCTCAAATTTTTTTGCGGCCGAGATGCGCGTTGGCGGCGAAAAATTCGCGTCAAGCGAGCACGGTGCCGACTAGCGAGCACGTATGTGTGTCAGCGAGCACGTTGTGCCCGAACGAGCACGTTCGGTCCCAGCAAGCACGTAGCAGCACGAGCAAGCACCGTCGAGACAGGAAAAGCTTGCATTAATGCAAAAGACAAGCACTTTGCCTTCTAATCTCTCTTCCAGCAATCCCGCCCCATCCGGGCCCCGGCCGGCCCCCGGCCCGCTCGGCCCTCGACCCAACCCAATCCCTCTCTCGCTCTGTGCAACCAAGGAGCAGCAGGGCCACTGGGCACCAAAGGCGAAACCACGGCAGCAAAAGCGGGTTCAGGAGGGCTCTGTTACTTGATGTCAGGGTTCCGGGCAAACTCTCGGGTCGCTACAAAGCAGGCAGCCTGTTGAAGGTGTTTGCGGGGTTTCCGTGTGCAACTTGAAGTGACTAATTCGGCTGGGAGGCAGACAAACTTCAGTGCCGGGTTGAGGCTTGGGTTTAGGTTGTGGTCCTGGTCGGGCTTCGGGGTTGGTTTCTGCGACTTCGTTCAGGCTACGAATGGAACCTCGCCCTGTGTCTAGTCTAGAATTCGATGTCGGTTTAGTCTTAGGGCTGGGGCTTGGGCTGAGTAGGGAGTTTTCCAATAATTTTAGTTCAGGATTTCAGGGACCCGGGTTTGGCTTGGGATCGGCTTAGTGGACCCCATATTTAAGAGTGTAGCTTCTAGAACAGCAGCCAGACCTAGCCTAAATTTATGTGGCTAAATTGCTATCTTGTAAATACCCATTATTATTATTATTAAATAACTAACCAATCTTCGTCTGTACTGGTTAGTCTAGTCGTTCTTCAGCACAATCAGAAGCGTTAGTTCTTGTGTTCATGCCTCGTGTTTCTGTAAGAGCCATGACCTCGCACGGGATAGCAATGGTTTTCAGATCACTCAATCACTCACACAACACCACAACTGCACTTCACAATCGATGGTCCTGATCACTCACTGGCAGCATGTCTGGGCTAAGAGCACAGAACTCCACGGCCGCGTTTTCACAACACCCTGTGGCCCTGTGTGCAGCACTGCACGAGGAAACATTTCAAAGTTTGCAAGACAACGTGTCCAGGAACACGACTCGGCCAATCGCCTAAATCATCCTCGGTGCTTTGGACTGAATCACTGAAGTATGCTATTTTACAGCCTCTAGCTCTAGCCTCTGACCTAAACCTGGCCCTGCATATGGAAACCCTGAAGTCCAAGTGCATCCATCACACCGGGAAACTGCCACCTCAGGACGTGGGATTCGCGGTCGTCGGGCGTCGTGACGGCGTCGAGGTTGGTGGTGCCTTGGGGGGCTGGAGTCAGCTGCAAGCTTTTGTAGATTGTGCCTAGGACAATGCAATAGTGCAGACTGCGTGCAGCTGAAGCCGTAGGCGGTGCTGAGATCACACCAGGGATCTTGGAGGCCCAATCATCAAAAGTCTTTCGGGCCCTCAGGGACATCTTCATGAAGAAGCTCTTGCCAGGCCCAAGATTCCCCGAAAGGGCACCTGCTCCAAGGGGATGAAAACCCACATTAGCAACAACAGCAACAGCAGCAGCAGCAGCAACAACAACAACAACAACAATGGTTGCACAATTGAAGCACGTAAGAACTTTAATATAAGATGCCACCTTGGATGCCCAAATTGAAGTGCTCCATCTGAGTCAAGGCCTCCTTGTCGAGGCACAGCAGCCAATAGCTGAAATCGGCCCTCAGATGATGTTCAGACTCAGTGTCACTCCACTCTCTAGGATGGGTTCCACCCCGGCACACACAGGACAACTCACAAGCACAGGCAACCGGGGCACGGGGATAGGTCTCCTGGCAGAGACTCCAGCACCGAACGTTCAAAGCCGTCGGCAACATCTTTGACCTTCGAGGCCACTTTCGCCAGCAAGGCGTCCAGCCCCCCCTCCTTCTCGGAGGGCAGCTTGAATTCACCCTGAAAGACATCATCGTCGCCGTCCTCCTGCTCCGACGGAGAATCGACGTACGGTGCAGCAGAGGGGCTGGGCAGCGACTCCTCAGGGCCATCCTTGTCGAGGTCAGAGGCCTCGGGCTCCGGCTCCGCGTGCTTCTTTGTTTCCTTGGCCGCTTTGGCATGCGGATCCCTGCCCTTCCTGGGCTTCTCGACTTTCTTGATCTGCTGCTTCAGATCATCCGAAGCTGCCTGCGTGGCAGACATGGACAAAAGCTGGCAGCAACAAGAAAAACAACAACAGGAGCACCTCGCGGGATTCCTTCAGCATGTCCTCCAGTGCTTTGCCCCAGGCGTCCTTGCCCCCCGGGTACTTCCTCATCAGATACACTCTGTGCGGTCTAGGACCTAGGAAACACTTCACTACAGTGCATTGACAGACAGACAATAACAAGTGATACACCTTAATCTCATTGAGTCTCTTCAGCTGCCGCTTGTACAGGGTGCGGAGCACGGCCGAGCAGTCCCAGAGGGTCTTGGCGGCACAGAGCCGGATCGACGAAGCCGGGCGGCCGGTGACTGCAGCAAGGCTAGGTAGGCTTGGAGTGTAGGAACATGTTTGTTTTGAGATCCTCTGAGTGTGTGCTGGGACGGGCCGGGGAGGAGAGTTGTATGGTCCTGGTGGCTTGTCTACAGTCATCACCAATAAGTCTCGACGGGAATCTGCGATTCTGTGCCCGGCACTATGTTCATGTAGTTAGCTCCAACCTGCTGCACAAAATCCTCGCTACTATACCTTTTGCTTATCGGCTTGGAAGGATCTGACATAGTATTGTGCAAGCGAGAGCACTGAAAACGACAAAGCAGTCGCATGGTCCCCGCCGAAATATAATCCCCAGACATGTGCGGTCAGTGAAGACTCTGATGGCTCACGACCCCGACGACCCCCCAGATGTGCAAACCAAGGAACGGTGCTGAGCCAGCAAGCCCATCCTCCGCTTCCAGACCGTCGCGGCCGTCTTCATCTGGGAATGAGCAGAGGCTTCTCTCGCAGTGTCGAGGCCGATTCTGTTGCACCAAGATTGGAGGTCTGTGCTTTTAGGATACCGGGAGGGGTGTGTCCGTTTCATGCAGGATGGTTCCGGCTTAATTATCATCATAATTAAAGAAATCAATCTGAAACCAGCAACCTGTACCAGAGTCGAATCCCGAACCCAGCCCAAACCCTTAAACCTGTAGCACGTGGAACATGCCTGGCGCCAGGAATAATTCTGGCTTGCCTATGCAAGAGATTTAGCATGCTTGGGCGACGATTGTAATAGACCCCGACGAACTAACCCCAACAAAGCACCTGGAAGAGAGCATCCTCCTGCTCTTTCTTGGCCCGGCTCTTCTTCGCCGTCATGGATCGGTCTCGAAGCAGAGACTCCTGAGGACGGTAGAAGCAACCATAGGAGGCCCTAAAATTTGGCATGTCTGAAGCTAAAGTCTTAAGACAAGCTGCCAGCTCCCCGCCCATCTCGAATATGTCGTTGGCAATAACCAGAGGGGTTATCTTCGAGAGAACCAAAGCGGTGGGCCGAGCATCAAGATCGACCAGGGTCGCCAGCTCCATGCTCCTTGACATGTCCCGCTTGCCCAAACCGAAGGTCGCCGCCGCATCTTCAAAGCCATCCTGCGATGGCTCCGTCTCGCTCTCCTCGCCGGAAGAGGACTGGGAGGAGCTACCTCGGATAGAAGCCAAAGCGTGGGGTCTCCAAACAAGCTAGAGGAATCCGGAATAATTACGACACTCACTGATGCAGCCAGTTGCTCGACTTCTTGCCCTTCTTTCTCTTCTTCGCCTTCTCCTTCTTCTTGTCGCTCTTCTTTCTTCTGCTCTCCTTGTCGCCGGAGGGCTTCTCCACTCCTTGGTTATCCGTTGCACATGCGAAGATCATCCAGGCAAAATCGCAAGAGAAGTGATTGGCTGCGTGGGCGGGTGGGGGGGGGGGAGGGGTGGAGTGAAAGACAGGGTTTGTGGGTTGGGCGGGCGGTGGATGGGGGGTTGTGCGTGGGTGGGGGTGGGCGGCCTTCTTGGTGGGTGGTTGGGTTGGTGGCGGCTGGATGGTTGTGGCTGCAACATACACAAAGAAGGGGGAGGGAGGGAGGGAGGGAGG